GCGCATATGAATATGTGCCTTCTAGTTAATGAGAATGTTGATGTTTAAATTCTCAATGTCTTATACTAAACCATTCACATAAAGGAGCATCAATGGTGGTTATCTATAATCCCTCTGGCCTGCTTACCTTAGAATCTGTTCTGGACAGTGTAAAAATTGAGATAATTGCATCAGAGATGATTGACCTTCGAATACCTGCGTGCACGTGCGATTACTCGAAGCAATTTTAGTAAACGAACAGAAAGTACTCTGAAACTCAACTGTCATATTGTAATTTGAGTAGACTGGCTCAAGGTTTGCTTTGTGCACTCGTACCTTACGTTCTTTGCTCTCTAATGTACACCATATAAGTTCATCCGGATCAATTGCTACTTTCACACCAACGAAACGATTAATGGCAGTTCTTATAGGCCTCACCCTCTGAGCGAAACTCGTCTTTGCATAACTATAATAGTTCAAGAAGTTTATCTTAGGCGAATACCTCTTTCGAGTGAAGAAACAATCTATGCCTATAATAAACAATTATATCCACTTTTAGAGTGAAGCAAACAACCTACCAGAATGTATTTTAGAAATGTTCAGGCAGATTTATTCAAAATAAGATCTATTATAGATCGAACATGCCCTGCCACGAGTCTGTCAGCGTAAATCTCCATAATTTTTTTTGTTAGAATGCTTGTGTCAATCATTCTGACTTCTGAAATGTTGCTCGTTAAGCAAGGAACCTGTCGCTATTCTTGCCCTCATAAAGCAATAGGTACTCCCATTATATTATTTTGCCAAGGATGATTGCTGGGTTAAAACTTGATTCAGGATAATGGTCATACAAGCATCAAGCTTGGATATCGTTTTCTTAGTGCACTTGGTTATCGAAAACGAAGCAGTAGAATCACGGACAGAGCTTTTTCTTAAACAAAGACAGATTTATCTAAGACGTCTTCGGGAGATACGAAGCTAAATGAACAAAAAGGGTGTTTTAGGATGACTAAGACAGATGAACAGCTCTTCTTAGATATTTTTCCTCCCAAAAATGTCGTTTTAGCTTTTATTGTAATTTCTTAGAATTTGTGGTGAGGAAGCAGAAACCGAAAGTTGTGCTTGAAGAGGCTCAACAGCGAAAGAGCTTGGATGAGCATGAACATACACTTTTCATACATCGTCATCCAGATGCTCACGGAAGGTATGCTCTTTTTACCGGCGCATTCACTCGAGCACTTGCGGAATTTAGGCTTGCATCATGGATCCAGTTGAATGCACGTTCGTATTTGCCAATCCGTCATCCACAAACTACCCTCGACGTACACGTCAGTGCGGGCCTTTATCAAATCGTCGATTTGGTGAGAGAAGGTTTTCTTTGAGGATTTCTGTTTTGAAGAATTGGATTAATATGACCGGATTAACTCGGATGAATCACCAGATTTCCGGGGGTTATTATTAAAAACTAATGCATTTCTATAACTGCTTTTTCCGGCATCCTCGCATGCGACTAATGCGTTCTCCATCTATAAACTACTTTGGTGCTGTTTTTTCCGTGCTGCTCCC